TGTACTGGTTGCTGCTGTACTGGTTGCTGCTGTACTGGTTGCTGCTGTACTGGTTGCTGCTGTACTGGTTGCTGCTGTACTGGTTGCTGCTGTACGGGCTGCTGCTGTACGGACTGTTGTTGTACGAGTTGTTGCTGTACTGGTTGGTTGCCGGCAGGGAGCGGTGATGATGGAGTAGATAGTTGCCTCTGCCCCGTCGTGTCGAGGGGCCGCGGCTGCGATTCAGGTCTAGTTTGAGACCGAGGAGTAACTGGCAAATCGGTACTCTGCGGTTCTGGCAGCTTCACTGTCGCCAAAACCGGCGAGTGCAGTTGTTGATGCTGGGACACTGGTGTTGCGGCTTTGCTCGATACTTGAGATTTCGTAACTTGAGGTGACGGTTCCGGGGATATTGCTACGCTCTCTTCAGTCTGGTGTACAGAACCTCCTTCTTGCTGAATAGACTTGGCATCCGATTTCTCACGGAGCGAAGAAATGGATGGGAAAGAGTGGACTGACGGCGGCACATCATGGTGAAAGGAAGAATGGCCGGCATTGTCAGCATCCGCAACCGATGGAAGAGACTCCTCAGGGGGAGGAGTAATCAAAACCCCCTCAACCATCTCGTTATGCTCAGAGGTATTGCTGTGTGATCGAACAGGGCCTTGTTCCTCTGTCTTGGAGGTGGAGACGATGGATATATCCGGCGATACCGTTTGAGACCTCAGAACTTCCTCTTCGCTTACATTGTCCTCCCCAATTTGGAGAGCTGCCAGCTTTTCTTGAAATGTGAATTCTTGAAGCCTGGGGGTCTTTTCGTCCATTGCCGAGTCTAATTGGGACTCGGTTGGGGTTTCCAAACTCTCGTTGCCGGAAGGTTTTTGGTCTTCTGTAGCAGTAGTATTCACGTTCTGTACCGGCACTAAAGTCTTGGTCGCAAGGTGCGGCAAATGGCTCTGAAGATTCTGTCGCTCTGAATCCTGGCTAATGCCCTGTGGTGGCTGGTTGAACTGAGGAGAAGTCAATCCTGCTGAGGCTACTGTCCTCTCTTGGCTTCCAACTGTAGTGGGTAGCAGAGAAGTCTGCTGAGCTTGAGGGTTCATAGGGCCAACAGAGAAAGCATTGGAATTGCCAAACTGTGTCTGCACAGGCTGTCCTAGGCCTCGTTGTGGTTGTGGCTGGTGCTCGTCTTGTTGGTAGTTCTGAAATGATTCCTCGAATCCTAAACTAGACATGGAAGCCAGAGGGTCCGATGTAAAATCCAAAGATGGGAGCTGCATGGGTGGTCGATCAGGTATCATGGCTCTTTGGTTCAAGGCCTGGTCATTGTTCTGCTGCCGGGGCATTGCACCTAATGACGAACGATCCTGACGTGCGCGACCAAATAGGCCCGCAATGCCGGAAGCCTTGGCGATATCAGATATCCTTCTCTTATGCGGAACCCCATTGTCTCGGCCGTCACCACCGGGACCAGAGACCGACTCAAATGCGGAGTTTGAAGTTGATGAGCGAGAGAAATTGCCGGGGCCAATCTTGGACTGTCCACCACCGCCAAAGAGGGAGCGTTTATGATCTTCGCGGGGGTCAACAGGTGGCTCGGCCCCAGCAGATCGTGTATCCCGCTGGCGTGCTTGATTGCCTAGATCCTCTTCTTTCCGAGGCGGCTGGTCCGTTGAGGAAGGACGGCCAGAGAACCCAAAGAAACTGGCTCGCTTCTTTCTACGGTCCGAAGCATCCTCCGTTGTGACACTGACTTCAGATACCTCATCCCCTCGAAGCTGTATAGATGGTGGCTTAGATTCGGCAATAGAGCTCCGTCGTTCTCTCGAGGTTGCTCTCGCAATTCGTGTTCCAAGTTCCTTGAAAATGCCCGAATTTCTCCTGCGCCCACGCTCATCAGCGTCTGGTCCTCCCTGTTGCTGTCGCACAGGTGCCGCCCCCTCTCTTGGTGGGCGACCTTGCATCTGAGGCGGGTATCCTTGGCCTCGACCAAATTGCCGTGGGTCTTGTCCTGGTAGTGAAAACAGCTCTGGATAACGCCGAGCGGACGATGGGGGTACGTCGCTTCTGAATCGCCCGGGAGGACCTTGAGCGGGAGGTATTGGAGCCGCAGGGATTTCCAATCCAAGCTCTTTATTGTACCCATAGTAGGCATCCTGTTGCGAAAAATCTGTGCCGGAGCGTTTTTTGGTTAGGTGAAGCGGCTCGGTTAGATGACTCTCTTCCAGTTTCCACGGACCTGCAGGGGGAAGTTTCTGAACTAGGCTATCAATCATGGGCGCGCCTTGAGCAAATTGAGGGTTCGGTCCACCAGGATATTGCTGCTGTGGCTGCTGCTGTTGCTGTTGGTGAGGATGATGGCCGGCATTGGAACTCTGTTGCTGGCCAAATCTGGGATTCGCACTCATGGCCATAGGCACTCCATGGCCGGGCTGAGGAGGGAGAGCCTTTTCATTGCGCCCCCCCTGATTCATGCCCGTCACGGCCTCTGGGGGATGTATCGATGCGTCAATCCCGCTGACTGGAGAGAGGGGAGGAGCATCAATGTCAGCACCATCGTCACCGTCATCGTCATCGAGGGAGAAACGCTCCGTGGCCCTCCGTGCCTTTGATTTTGTGCCAAATGTTGAGCCTCGCCTGATGGGTGGCAGACCGATAAAGGAGGAATTGCGCTTTGGCGTGTCCGAGTTGTCCAGGGGCTGGTTCTGTTGCTGTCGTTCTTGATCATCTGCTCCAGCCATTGCCCTAAACGACATGGACATTCTCTGAGCCTGACTCTGTTCACCCTGATGCTGAACCATGACCCAATCGTCCGGCGTCACCATTTCCGGATTCAAGTCAGAGCTCCTCTGGCCAGCGGGGAATATATGCTCCTCCGGCTCTGCTGACGGGTAAGCCCCGTGGAGGAAGGAATTGAAGATTACTAAGTCTTCCGATGTGACGTGTACCTCGCCGGGCAGCCTCCCAGATAACGGGTCGGGGGCTGGCATGTCATCTGAGACACTCCATGGAAAGGCGGATCCAGGGCCAGATGCGGCGTTCAAGGGGGAGACCGGGGACGGGTCGGGCAGCTGTGGCGGTGTCGTGGAGATGTCGCTGCTGGAATGTGGGGCAGGATCATCTTCACGAGGTCTTGGCTCGAGGCTAAATCGCCATGTCGAACGTCGTTGTGCTTTGTTGGGCATCGGATGGTCCGGAGGGATCGTATCGACCTAATCAGGGAAAGAAGAGAACATTAATATTCATTCATCACATGAGAATAATTTCAAGGG